ATCCGATACACAGTCACGCGCGCTGAAGATAATTTTTTTTTTCATACAGTGTTGCCATTGGTCGCTTTATAATCGTTTGTTTATCAAAACGTTTACAAAATATCAAATAGATAATAAAACAAATTCCAAATTTGGGCTTTCAGATGCCCATATTCGGGCAGAATACGTTATTCAAATTTTGATGGCTCTAGGTGCCGTTGTTTTATTACTATTCGAGAAATATACATACATTTATGCAGATTCTTCATTATTTAATTTTTTTAAATATAACACAGGGCGATAATATTTGGTGGCGACAATTTGAAAAGTGAACCGACATTCATAGTGAATGAACGCAAAAATGCCAAAACGAAATTAATAGCCCTTCTGGGCAAATTGAGCAAGAGTTTTATATATTTCAAGGGAATAAATAATAAGTGAATGTACAATATCAGTAGAAAAACAATACGATCGCATTAAAATTTTAAGTTTTCTATAGGCTATATTTTTACATTAGAGACCAGAAATAAAAGAATACTTACTTTTCAAAGGAATTTCTACAGTAGACGTTAATAACGAATGATGCTACGCACTGATTTAACTTATTGCGTAGAATGCGTAGAATGAAGAATGAAGAATATTGCGTAGAATGAAGTTCTCTCTTTTCCCGAATGTGTTTTCGTTTTTTACTCGCTAAAGATTCTACTCAATTCAAAAATGACATTTTCTTAACTCACTTTGATAGGTTTACATATTCTTTGAATTAAAATGCTAGAAAAGTATTAATTAAATTTTCCAATTTTCATGAAAAATTTTTTGCGGGTTTCTTGCTTAAGAAATTATTACCGTCTTCTGTGTTCTTAGAAAAGAAGAAAGAGAAATCTGGGTTGCATTTACTCAACAGTAAGAAGTACGTCCAAAAATTGTAAAATTAAAAGATGTTCGTCATCTTTGCAGAATTCTATTAGTGCAGAAGTGCAGTTATGGGCGAAGGTCGTCATCATTGTTTCCGGTGGAGAAGTGACTACGGTCTATCACTGCGATCATTGCTTCTCATCGATAAGCACGTCAGTATTAGTCTTTATTTTTTTCACAAATGCATGTACATTAATTCGTAATGTGACGCTAAACGAGGTATTTCATAACAAAATAACTCATGTCGTTGAAGATGGCCTGCTATTGCTGCAACATCAGGCTTCCGAAGAAGCTATTCATGAGTTGGATTAACAATAGAAATTTAGCTTAAAATACAGAAAGTATAATATTATTCGGAGTAGGCGTGAGAATTTCATTCCTGGGAATTAAAACTTCTAAGAAAATAAACGATTAACATTTTGTTTGCTTTATGCATCTACTCTTATGAAATACAATAGGCGGCTTATGTTAATTAGAAAAAACTCATAAATGTCTTAAGGAGGCGGAGAGGAAAATCAAAGATATTTTTAGAGAATAAAGATTATAATAAAAAAAAAATAAAATAAAATAAAAAAACACTGAAAGCTTTCAGATTTTACATTACGCACAAAGAGACTTTTTTAACCTTCTGTGTGTTACCTTTATTTGTTAAACGTTCTTTGCACTTAAACCATAAAATTCAATTCAACTGTAATATCGCAAAATAATTTTAAAATAATCTAATGCCTCTACAGTATTAAAGCTTAATTCTTTCAGTTTCGGAAGCGTTTTTGTTAACTTTTGTCACGATTTAGAAAAAGACATATACTTGTCGTAAACATTTAAGTTGCCAAAGTGTAAAATATTTCTACAATACATTTAAAAGAATGGTTTCAGCAATTTGTGAGAAAATGTACAGTAATAAAGTTCAAAAAATATTCTCTAAAATCAAGCTATGAAAATATGCACAAAAGCTTGATAAGTCAACGAACGAATTAGTTAAAAAATAAAATAAAATCTGAAAGCCCAAAGGGGCGTTCTTCTATCGTTTTGTGTGTTACCTTTAGTTGTTAAATATCATGTTCTTCGCACTTAAACCATAAAATTATATTCAACAGTGTTATCATAAAATAATTTAAAACAGCATATCTTTAGAATTTCTGAAACACAGTCTCGCGCTCTGAAGATAATTTTTTTTCCCCCATACAATTTTGCCATTGCTCACTTTGAAATCATTGAGTTTGTTAATAAAAAATTCGTTGAAGTGTTACAAAATATGAAATAGATGATAAAACAAATTTCAAATCCCAAATTAGGGCTTCCAGATGCCTATATTCGATAGAAGATTACATTACTCAAAATTTGATGGCTCTAAGTGCCGTTGTTTTATCACAATTCGAGAAACATACATACATTTATGCAGATTCTTCTTTATTTCATTTCTTTAAATATAATATTTGATGGCAACAATTTGAAAAGGGAACCGACATTTAAAATTTTGAACGCAAAATGCCAAAACGAAATTAATAGCCCTTCTGGACTAACGCTATTTGAGCTAATAAAAAATAACAACTACTATGGATATCATATTTAGATAATCACTTTCCAATCTTCAACAGAGTAGTAATTTATACTTTTTTTAGTTTACTACTTCACTTAGTTATCCTCCTCCCCCCGAAAAAAAATGCTCTTTCCTCATTGTTGAGAATTTAAAAATGCACACCCATTAAATATAACACTTATTATTCGGATTCCAAATATTGGAACTGGAGTTATCCGGATAGCTTCTAGATCAAACAAAATAAAAATAAAGTTAATGGATCACGTCTAATTGGGTTAAGTATTTCAAATTTTTTTTTTTAGCCGAAAGAGGCGTTAGACCCAAAGGGCTATTTGTCTGAAAATGGAATTTTGCATCATTTCACTTTTTGCGTTGATTCAGTTTTAAAACTGTTGCCACCAAATATTATCGCCATGTATCATATTTAAAAAAAATAATGAAGAATATGCATGAATGTTTCTCGCATCGTGAAAAAACAATGGTACCTAGAGCCATCCAGTTTTGAATAACGTAGTCCTCCAACCGAACATGGGCACTTGGAAGCCCACATTTTTAATTTCGAATTTGTTTATTATCTATTTCAAATTTTGCAAAACTTTAACGAATTTTTGATTAATAAATTCAACGATTTCAAAGCGAGCAATGGCAATACTGTACGAAAAAAAAACATTTTTTATCCCCAGCGCGCGAGACTGTGTATCGGAAATTCTAAAGATATGCTGTGCTGCTGTTTTTAAATATTTTGCGATACTGTTGAATTAAATTTTATGTGGTTTAAGTGCGAAAAAAATTATATTAAGTAAATAAAAGTAACACACAAAACGTTAAAGAAACGCCCCTTTGGGCATAATATAAAATCTCAAAACTTTCAATTTTTTGTTTTTGCGAAGATTTTGAACAGCTTTATTTTCGATGACGATATTTTGTACCACGATGTTTTAGAAGTATGATGTTTTCTCCTTGCTTTCTTTTTTCCTACGATGTTTTGTACCACGAAGTTTTCGTCTTGCGATGTTTTTCTACGCCTCGTTTTCCTACGCGATGTTTTTGCGGCGATGTTTTCGGCGGAGACCGTTATAATGAACTGTACTAATAGGTGTCTACGGAGTAAAATCTTTTGAGAATAACATCAAAACTACTGTGACTAAGAATCTGAGAGCTCAGGAATATGAAAATGCAAAAATTTGGAATACAGAAAATGATTTTGTCAAGAAACCAACAAAGTTTTTAAAAGATACGTAAAATGGTATGCTGGAGCAGGTTATAACACTTTATAAAATGCACGTGGAATCCTTTTGAACATATTTTCACAGGATATAAAGTTTCATTAAACTTATGTTAGTTGTTTATTTTAAGTTATTTTATTTTCGTTGTATTTAATTAGTGTTGTGGTTTAGATAAGGAAGATGGGATGAAAGTTTGCTCGGTAGCGTAGGACAGGGTTTCTTAAATTGTGGTCGCGAGACCTGCAGCCGGGGGGGGGATTGCCAAAAATTTTAGCAGTTTTGATATTTCTTTAAGTTATTATAATAATTTTACAGTTATCAAATATTTTTACACAATGTATCTGAAAATAGGTAAAGATAAGACAATACAAACAAAGAAAAAAATGAAAATGTTTCAGCGTGTTCTTTTTATAGTATAAACGTCATTTTTCTTGCTTTGCACGTGACGCTTGTCATTTCGTTTGTTACTTATTTAAAATTTTCACATTGTTCTATGTCTTAAAATTAAAGTTAATGACTTAAAACTGCAATAGTATATTACAGTACGAGTGAAAAAATCGAGAGTTTCACTCACGCATGTGTCGGATTTGCGCAGTATTTGCAGAGTCCCACAAAACTTTTGTAAATATTATGAGGTCCTGGGGGTCGCGAAAAAATCTCAGTAATAAAAATGGGTCGCGGCTGAAAAAGTTTAAAAAACCCTGATCTAGCAGATTAGACTAGTATTTAGATTAAGCCAAAACTGTGTTTAGTCTTATAAGCTTCTTAAAAGTTCATGTAAGTGAAATATTACCTTTTTATATTACTTAAATCAAGAAAAAAGTTAAAACATTTTTAGAAATTACAAAAATCCCAGTTCTGCTCGGCCTATAAAGAAATGCAAGTGGTTCGGATAACTAAAATTCCAGCGGACTAGAGTTCTACCGCTAAAAGAATAATAAGACAAAGAAAAAACGTGTATGTAAATTAAAGTTGAATTCCACTTGACCTAGGTAGAAAAGCAAATGCTACAGATGATATCTGGAGCTCCAGATAACTCGAATTCGATTAGCTGGAATTGTATTGTAATACTAGAGTAATAAAATAAGTAAATTAGTAGTTAACAAGTTTAATGTATTCTATTTCGTCAAAAGAAAAGCAAGCGATTCGCATAACTGAAATTTCGCATATCTGGAGTTCAACTGCAAGTGAAGGGGAAAGAATATACACGATAAATGGAGTTTCAGATATCCGTTTTTCGGATAATCGTGTTCTATTGTAATAGCAAAGCAAGGGATAAAGGAAAGAATGTTTGTTAATTGCAATTCTCCCATTTCTGCAACGCAGCAAAACTCACTTACCTGTTCCTCTTCTGGAGATTCATCATCGAGCGCCTCTGGCATTTTACGTTGAATTTTTTTTCTCCCAAATACCGCAGAGAAAGAACCTTCTGCTCTTTGTTTACTTCGCAAATAATGTGACAAGTGTTCTTTCTCTGTTCTTCTCACTCGTTAGGCGATGTTTGCCGTAGCAAAGATTACAGTTTTCTTTTATACGATGATATCTAACAACACTGATAAGATTACCTAGAGTGATGAGTTAACACCAACTTAGAATAATTTTCAGTGTGTAAAAAGGCAAGTCCATTGGCTTTTAATTTTATGACAGCAAACAAATTAAGTTGTGGTTGCAACAACTGATAATGTTAAAAATGTCGCTCGTTCGCTGTATTTGATTAACAAATTGAGGAAGGAGTTTAATGATTTATTGGCTAAGCTCTTTGGACTTACTGTTGGTCTAGTTGTCGACACAAGGTCATCGAAAAGAAATACCGGATTGTGAAATTATGTTATTCAAAAATATTAGACATACTGATAATATTCAAATTGTAAAAAGTTAAAGGAATGTTCTGAATATTCTTCTTGGCGTAGAAGGTTTCAATATTTGCACCATTTTTCGCACGGCAGACCACGAAACTGTACTGGATTACGTTCCAAATCTTCGTCCATAACTTCTGCAGTCTTCTATCATAAATACTGAAGACCATAAATCTTGTCAACTTGTCGTTGTTATGACCACTGCTAACATTTATTAGTTTTAAGTTTACTGGAGTCTACAATGCTTATCAACTTGTCATTGTTATGATTACTGTCAAAATTTATTAATTTTAAGTTTACTGGAGGCCATAAAGCCTTTCATCATACAACTGATCATCATAAATTTGAGATGGACTTTATTTTTATCATAGGTAGAACGAATCCTACATCACACAATTGCATCATTCCTGAAGTCATTCATCCTAGGTACTGGAGATCCTGAATCTTTTCATTCTGCAGTTGCCATGATTGCTACAGAACATTATCGCATGCGCTGGAAACATGAATTTTTACATGATATATAGAGTTTGGAAAAAGTGGAAAAAATGCTTAATTTCTTGAATCCGACACATAAGAACAATGGCAAAAAAGGAAACCTGGTAAAGATGTGAGGTTTTACAGCAAGTAACATGAAAAATTAACTATGCTCTTCTCGGGGGATTTGGACCATGGAACTTCCAGTGCTTTTGGACGTGTTCCCACTTATACCTCGACAGCACGCATAAAGGGAGTATGATAATTTCATTTAAGATTTTACTAACAAGAAAATCTTTTAATTAAAGCAAAATTAAAAACTATTTTTAAAGCAAAACAAATTAAAGAATAAGAAGAAATTTGAGAATTTTTTAAAATACAGTTATGTTTATTTAGAAGAGGCCAATGAAATTTATCAAAAGAAGAAAGCAATATAAATGAATTATCAAAATAAGAAAGCAATATAAATGAATTATCAAAAGAAGTAAATAATTAAAATTCTAAAGTCTTGAGATTAAATTCGAATGTAATTTCTTTCAGTATGAAAAACATATTTGATTAAGCTTTCAATTTTTTTATATTTTCCCCGAATTTTCGTCAAGCTTAGCACGTGTAAAGGAGAAGAAGAGGGGAGAATTACTTCAAGAGCTTACTTGAATGAATATTAATCAAGGAACGCTTAAGGGGACTCGTACACCTTAAAACCCATAAGATGTTCGAATAGGTGACTGTTGCAAGAATTGGGATAACTTATTTATTTTAAAAGCAATTACTACCAAATTTTTACAGCTGACTACATAATATAGCTGCTTTCTGAAACAGGAATCAGAATGTTTGTGTTGCCACAAATATTTTTATAATTTAATCCGCTTTGTGACAACATTTTTCGTCGTTTCCAACTTGCGCGCACAGTTTAAAACATTCTGTTACATAATTTAATTCCATATTTAATATATAGCTTTTATAACATTTGGAAACTACTGTAAACCTAAAATTCTAAAAATTTCATGTTAAATTTTTATTTTATTTTGAGTTGAGTGTATAAAATGTATTTTATTAAAAAATTTTTATTGCTTTCGTCCATAAAATTTTTCAATATTAAAATATTCATCAGATTGTTAGTTCAGTTAGAAAATAATGCCCACATAAAGAATTCCATCAAATTTCAAGTATGTACCATTAGCCATTTTTAAATATCATGCGCGCAAGGTGGAAACATGGCGAAATATTTTTGTCACAAGGAGGATGAAATTACAAAAAAATTTGTGGCAACACAAACTTTCTGGTTACTAGTTTCCAAAGCAGCTATATTATGTAGTCAGCTGTAAAAGGTTAGAAGTAATTGCTTTTAAAATAAATAAAATATCCCAATTCTTGCAACAGTCACATATTCGAAGATCATGAGGGGTTTAAGGTGTATGAGTCCCCTTAAGTCTGTACAAGAAATTAAGAATGTTGCCCTTAGGGCCATGAAGAAGTGATATTGGAGATTCAGGTTAACTGCAGTTGAAACATTCGCTTTTTTTTTTTTAACGAATATTTAGACTACACATCTGTGAAATAAATCTTTCCAATCTTTTGAATTAAATCATTAGCATTTTAGTAGGTTAGGTTTGGAAAGATTCAAATAACGAAAACTTTCTGATAATTAGAGTTTTCGAATCTCAGACCATTTTTAAAATTAGTGGAATTCGAGGTTTCGAATACTCCATATCTAGTTCGCTCTATATTTGTGAAAACAGTAAGTTCATTGAACACACTCTGAAACTTTGTCAGCAGTGCAATTATAGATAAAATAGTGGATTCTCTACTAAGCAGAAACAATTAGTCTCACGATCAAGACAATTAGAAACTTCTGATTCTCATATTTGCTCTCTATCTACCAAGCAATGTTTCATCACATTTTAAACAAAAGTCACAACTTATCAAACTGACCAGGATTTTGCCAAGCCAATATGGGACAATTAGCTTGGGAACTTTTGTTCGAAGCATAATATTATTTAAAATAATTAACATAACAATTTTTGCTCGATCAGAATGTCTTTATACCAAACAATAAAAAAAAAAAAAAAAAATTGGGTATTCGAAAACCTTTAGAATCTAAAGGATTTTACTTAATACTCCCTCAATGTTTTTTTTTTTTTTTTTTTTTTTCCACAATTCCTCGTTTACCTTGTAAAGTTGCGCGCTTCCAACCTGCACGCAACAAAGTGGTGACTGCTGAGAATTGGAAATAGACCAAAGTCTTGAGAAGGGTTTAAATCCCTCTTTATTCAACTTTAGAAATTACAGATGCGTGCTCTTGACGCTCACAAACTACGCCGACCCGGCAGTAAAATAAAAATAAGAAACTAAGAAAAGAATAGTAACAAGTGACTAACTACGAGGCTCTCTAAACGTAACTAACCTCACCGCGTTCTAAATACCGCTGATAATTCAACAAACTTCTGAATATTACGTTGAAAGATTAACAATCTGCCGAGGCAAGCACACAGGCCGAAACGCGTGGTTCTTCAATTTCTAACTAGCTACCTCCACACTCGTGAAGCAAGAAAGCACCCTTTCGAACTCGTTTCCTTTCTATTTAACTCAGAATACTTCCGCTGATAATTTGAATCCTTGCGCGTTCTACTAAAATTTACATACTCTGGCATTGGCAATTCCAGGGGAAAGTAAGGCTTGACAGGAAAGATAGTTTAAACTTAAAATAAATGTTAGTTAAAATAAATATAAACCCTACAACCTTATAAGGATTTTTATTTTATTTGAAAATTTTGCTATCCTCTCTTATTTCCCATTTCCGGACAGAATAAACGCGAACAGATTTGGTTATGTAAATGAGCTTCCAAACTTTTAAGTATTTGGGTATGGCTTTTAGCCAAAAGTGAGAGTATGAGAGAGACTTCTCGCTGCCTTACCACGGTATAAGGTATAAGATATATATATATTAAAAATATATATCAAATGCAGTATATATGTATCAAAACCTTAAATTAATAATCTAGCAGAGGTAGATTAAACCGTCTCAGGAAGATGCTAAAATTGTATGCAGAAACCTATTTCATTTTAAAATTATGAATGGAATTTAAAGACGAACTCTTACAGTTTTTGAAATTTTGTTATTAATTTATTTAAGGTTTTATAATTTATTTAATGTAATTTTAATATGATAGGTATTAACATAATAAAATTTCTAATACATTATAGATTATTCATATTTTTACGTTCCAGACAATCTTCTCAAAAGGTAATAATTTGAAATATATCAAAACCTGAATAATGCAAGAGAACTGCATCACGTTTTTTTCGCATGATATATATATATCTATAATCACTTGAAGTCATTATCGATGCAATAAGAAAAGTCGTGGCAAGATTTAAATATTCCTTTTTTATTCATCTGACATTTTCAGACACAAATAACTTAAAACACTAATCGTGCCTGCATCAGAACATAACATTTACAGTTTTTTATAATGTTGAGATAAGAAAAACGCAGCACGACAGCGTATTATTGGCAACAGAAGCAGAAGCGAAGTGTATTGTATTCGAGAGGAACTCTTAGTTCAAAGTGAATTGGTTTCGATTTCTGTGTAATTTCGATTGGCTAATTAATAACTCTTTAACATTATTACTGGCTAATTGAGTTTCAGTTCGCAAAATTATTTACATTGTAGAGGTTACTTTAAGTTTCTAATAGTTATTCTTATAGTTAAGTTTAAACATGCTTTTGTCTACTCTCGTTTCCCAGTTACTATTCCCTACCAGAATGAGTTTTTAGTATCGCGTTATATGCAGATGAGTTAGAAGGAGTATTTAAGGAAAGTTCAGCTTACTTGAAAAGAGAGAGCTTAGAAGTCCTTAGTGGTATAAGGAAAGTTCAGCTTACTTGAAAAGAGAGAGCTTAGAAGTCCTTAGTGGTATAAGGAAGGTTCAGCTAATTTGAAAAGAGAGAGCTTAGAAGTCCTTAGTGGTATAAGGAAGGTTTAGCTTACTTGAAAAGAGAGAGCTTAGAAGTCCTTAGTGGTATAAAGAAGGTTCAGCTTACTTGAAAAGAGAGAGCTTAGAAGTCCTTAGTGTAAGGAAGGTTCAGCTTACTTGAAAAAAGAGAGCTTAGAAGTCTTAGTGGTATAAGGAATGTTCAGCTTACTTGAAAAGAGA